CCCCAAAACCCCAAAACCCCAAAACCCCAAAACCCCAAAACCCCAAAACCCCATTTGTGTTAGTCAGATTGAACAATTCAATATGTCTTCACTTCCTCTATGCTGTCTCAAGTTGAGCTCGTGTATTCGAAATTTCAAAATCTCTAATTGGCTACCCCATCTGCGTCAATGTCGTACACCTTCATCATGTTGCACTCTTCGACTGGGTCGTCCTTGAGCCCTGTGCCCTCACTACACATTAAAGAATGGTTACCTCGAAGTCTGGACAATGGCCTTGGTTCCTTCTTGACAAAATGCTCGCTCTCTCGCAAAGTTGATCACTTTGGCAACCGTGTCTTCGATGCCTTCGTTCTTGTCAATGTGGTACGGAATGACTCCTCTGAGCAAGCTCATCTGTTTCAGCACGCTCTGATCTGATGTACACACGAATATTGGCTGCCTGGGCCTGTACTTTGCAAGAGTCCTGGCAGCTCTGCCATTCTCAGTGAACACAATGAGGACTCCGATCTTCATGTCAAGTGCTGTACTGGCAATGTTGGAAGCAACGGTTTCTGAAAACTTGAACGGAGTCTGGGATCTCCTCTTGACATCTTCGTACACTCTCTTGTAATGAATGGTTTTCTCGGCTTCACAACAAATCTTGACGAGCATCTTGGCAGCGTTGGTTGGATACTTGCCTACCGAAGTCTCGTGAGTCAGCATGATGCAGTCGGCTCCATCCACAATGATGTTGGCGATGTCCCCAGCTTCGGCTCTGGATGGCCTTGGCTTTTTGACCATGGAGTCCAAGATTTCGTTGCTGACAATGACAGGCTTACCAAGAGCATTGGCTTCACTGATCATCCACTTCTGAGCCAGAAAGACTTTGTCTGCTGGGATTTCTCTTGACAAGTCGCCTCTCGATATGATGATACCATCGGAAGCTTTGAGAATGGCTTCGTAGTTGTCGAGACTTTCCTTGTTGTCAATTTTGGCGAAGATCTTCATGGTTTCTCTGTGGTCTCCAATGAAGTCAACTATTTTCTCGATGTCGGATTCTTTCCTGGTAAATGAACAAGCCAAGATGTCGATGTGTTCTTTGAACCCGAAGTCTGCAATGTCGATTTCGTCTCTCTCAGTGAGAACTGGCAAGTCGATGGTGCAGCCTGGCAATGCCACATTCTTGTTTTCTCCGAGAATGTGATCGTTCATGGCAACAGCTTTCACAGAGTCTTCAAGGCATTCTTTGACTTCCAAGATTAAGTGGCCTTCATCAATCACAATTTTGTCACCAACTTTGACGGTATCTGGGAGCGCCTGGTAAGAAATAGTCAGTCTGGATGAGTCTCCTTCAAGGGAGAAGTCAGTCAGGATATCGAACTCTTGTCCTTCTTTAATATTGACAGGCTCTGCATCTCTTAAAATGCCAGTTCGTATTTCTGGACCCTTGGTATCAAGCATCAGAGAAACATTACAACCTTTGCGTTCAGCCATGGCATCTTTTAAGTTCTCAAGCATTTCACCGAAAGTCTATAATTAAAATTATGCACGTACCTTATGATCGCCATATGAGAAGTTAAATCTAGCAACTTGCATGCCAGCATCAATGAGTTCGACCATGCGCTCTTTAGTGGATGTAGCAGGTCCTAGAGTACATATCATTTTAGTCTTTCTTGTACTGACATCAATCTCTTCTATAATATTGGCATACTTAACCCTAGCCAATTCTTCAAGCTTTCCTTCAGCCTCCATAAATTTTAAAAATCGTTAAATAAATTTATAATCGGTTCAAGAATTATAAGATTATTAGGGGTTTTGGGGTTTTGGGGTTTTGGGGTTTTGGGG